AATCAGCTCCCAGTGCGACCAATTATGTAAGTGTATTTATGTAAGTGCATTTGTATGTGTATGTTTGGGGGCCTGAAATGGACTAATCTAATTCACAATATTCCTTATGGGAACATATTCGGTCAGTACTGGCACCTGAACATACTTCTGGAATGAAATAATATTGTAAACCGGGGGTCCACTGTAATGTGTATATTACCTGCACTTGCAAGTACAGTGGACCCTTGGTTATCGGCTGTTCTGTAGACAGCCTGCACTGTCTGCACAGACAGTACGTGCTGTCTGCCAGCTTAGTTCATATTTTGCGGCACTAAGGTGCTGTCCTCTGGGCCTGCTCCAGGTCTGTGGGAAGCTGGTCCCACACGCTCTCACTCTGACAGCGGCCTAGCAGGAAGATGGAAGGCCTACTAGTTCTCTCCCTCTCGTGGGCATGGCCTACCCGGGCCATGGGCACAACACACAAGCCTGTGTACCCACCACTACTTTACAAATAAAGTAAAGAAGCCTCTGAAGACGTTTATCATTTACTCCCCGCTACCAGCAACACCAATTAATCTCATTAAACACTGGTGGGAAGCGGTGGTCGCAGCAGTTGTGTTTGCCCGGAGGAAGGAAGGAATGAAGTCATCTTCACTTCATCTCCCCTTGCAAGAAGCATCCGTCTCTCAACAAGTTATCCTGATGTCGTGTCTGCACGTTTCAGCATCCAGACACAGGTACAAGCAGGATCTAGTCGAAATTTGCCGAATTTCTTCGAGAATTGTAAGTGGTGTCCCAGTGACCCCATGCCACAGCGTCCCACGCTGTTTCTTAAGTCACATGTTCAGCATCACTTGTATGTTGCTGTTGTTGTTCAGCTCAGCACAGCTGTTTCAGCAAGCCAGAGGTGAGTTTTGTGGTGATTTCTGCGTCCAGTGTGAGTTACTCCTCGTGTTTGTAGGAGGGAGAGGAAGTGGCCGTTTCCTCGCCTCGCCCACGCTCGCCCTCCTCACACCTCACCAGCCTACCACCACTATGTGCATCACTCCCTCTGCTGTGTTTTCTGCTGTTTTTCGTGTGAATTCATTGCCAGAGTTGTGTATCCGAGTGCTCGAGGCTACTCGAAGCCACGAGGATCAGCAAGCCACGTGGATCAGCAAGCCATGTGGATCAGCATGCCACATAGATCATGTCACCACGTGGATCATGATGCCATGTGGGGTGTGGGCAAGGTCACGTGGATCTACAAGCCACGTGGGTTACCGAGCCAGATGTCCCAGGCCTCATGCTGTGGTCTGCTGCCCGCATCACATTGACGTCACCGACGATGCTGCCCGACTTCATGACGTCGCCTCGAGATGTCTGCTGACGTCACCTCGCGACATCACGCCTGACATCACATGATGTCACATCAAGTGCTCTAGTAATTATTTCAGTATTGTTGAGAAGATTGAGAGAAGATATATGTCGTGTGCTAATTAATTCCTCTCAGTCAGTGTTCTCACATGTTAGTGTATGGCTTAGTATCAGTTTTGTGCACAGTAAAGCATCTTTTGCTAGTTTAAGCCATGTTGTACCGTATGTACCGCGGGTGTGTGTGAAGTTTCCCGTGTGTCCAGTGGTCCTGAGCCAGACCTGAGTAGCACCACTGTGCTAAGTCACCTGATGTGACCAGTGCGTTTGACAGCTGATATCAGTCAGCTCTGAGCCCGAGCCCCCTTGTACAGAAAGCTCTTATGCTCGTCGCTCGTGACGTTCTGCAGAATCGTACCTGCTACGATTCCCATCGAGATTTGTTTCACTTCACCTTCAGAGTGCAGTTATATGTAGAGAAACAAGTCTTGGGACGCTTAGACTAACCTCTGCTATAACTCCAACTGCCGAGAGAATGACACTCGTCAAGTTAGCCCTGTCAGCAGGTGCTGTCAGCCTCGTGTCACAAGCTTCAGTGAGCAGCCTGCACAAAGATGATGTCACTTTGACTGCTAGCTCGCTCACTGCAGTCTGGTGTATGATGTTACAACTCCCAGATGTTTGGCCAAGTCGTCTCTGCCACGACTCGCTCCACGACTCTCTCCACGCTCGCCGGCAGTGACAGCCCAGCGACAGTACCAGTCGAGAAGTGTCCTGAGTCGCTTGCCAGAAGTCCTGCCGAGTTTTGACGACACCTCACCCGAGGGCACCAGCATGTCGTGCCCCTGGTTGAGTGAAAACCTGCAGCTACTCCTACGATGACTGCTTCACCGTTCCAGAGGAGACCGTACCCTGTTACGTCACAGCTCAGCCACAGCGATGTCTCTTGTGTTGTAGTATCTGTCCAGACGCAGGAAGGCGTGCAGTGATGCCCTTTGACGCTCGCTGCCTATGACCACGATGTTTAGCACACCCCACATGTTTTTTTCTTCCCTTTTTTTTCCATGTCCATATGTATATATATGTTTTTTATTTTGTGTTCTGTGCCCTGTTCCTACGAGAGAGAGACCGAGTTTTTTTTACCACCAGTATTGTGGCCACCAGTAGGTGGCCGAGCAAATGTAGACAGCCTGCACTGTCTGCACAGACAGTACATGCTGTCTGCCAGCTTAGTTCATATTTCGCGGCACTAAGGTGCTGCCCTCTGGGCCTGCTCCAGGTCTGTGGGAAGCTGGTCCCACACGCTCTCACTCTGACAGCGGCCTAGCAGGAAGACACAAGGCCTACTAGTTCCCTCTCGTGGGCATGGCCTACCCGTGCCATGGGCACAACACACAAGCCTGTGTACCCACCACTACACTACAAATAAAGTAAAGAAGCCTCTGAAGACGTTTATCATTTGCACCCAGCTTTCAGCATCACCAATCAATCTGTTTAACAGTTCCGGATATCGGCCAGTTCAGTTTTTGTCCGCTTTTTTGGGTGAAATTCTATCCTGGTTATCAGCTGTTATTTCGGAGATCGACCGTATTTGACGCGTTCACCCGCTGCTCCGCCACGTTTGTGAGTCAGTCTGGCTGTGTGTCTGGGCAAGTGAGGAAGATTCCATGCATTCATCCAAACATTTCACTATAATCCATTGTTTTTTGTGGTTACTGATTGAGTGCAACTGCAAAATAAGCCACCATAGGCCCAAAGAAAGTTCCTAGTGGCACCCCTATGGTAAAGAAAGTGAGAAATATGATAGAATTCAAGAAAGAAAGAACTAGCAAAGTACGAAAGTAAAGGAGGAAGAGAGAGGAGAGAGTGTGCCTTCTTCAGTGATTCTACGATATGTACGATACTAAAGCAGCAGGAGTCGATAATGGCTATAGCACCAGCCAGCAATAAAGTGTAGCAAGTAAGTTAAGCGATTAAGCGATAGTAAAAGGACGACACTAAACTGACTCCTCCAGTGTTATTGGAGGTATATAGGACCACTGACAATATACCCCACTCTGCGTATCTTCCACCACCCTAAACCATTGCCAGCATCTCCTCTAAGGTAAGTGTAAATATTTCTTATTTATAAATTACGTACATTGTTTCAGTGTGAATAGTGGTGGTGGCCTCTGCTGCCGCCGCCACCACCACTATATGTACAGCTTATGCTGTCAGTGGCCCTTATAAACCCAACAACAACAACACCACCACCACTACATAATGACATATTTTATTCATTCTAGAGTACATGTATATATCATGTTTCTAGGTTATTAATATTGTTTATTATATCATATTAGATGAATTGTGATAGATAAATAAGCTGTAGAGTCGATAATAGTGTCATATTTAGGCATTTTGTTCTGTCTCCAAACAGTAAACTCTCCTCCCTCTCCGCTCCTTGCCGTTTTGCATATGCCAACAACACACTTCAATAAAGGTAAAAGTGATTTAAATGTTCATTTATCCATTTCATTAGTCATTTTATTTAGTTCTCAGTGTTTTGTATATGTAAAACTATAGTTAATCTTTAAAAAAAAAAATTTTTGTTAATATTTTTGGGTGTCTAGAACGGTTTTAGGCTGACCTTCTGGAATGGATTGCGGCCGATAACCGAGGGTCAACTGTAATCTTAGCTCATCTATCTTATTTCTTAGACTCCTACTATTTGTATAGTAAACCTTAAGGGAGCTAGTCACTTGTTGCCCTATACTATCTCTCTTTGCTTGTTGAACAATTGCTTTGCCTTTACTAGCAACTTTATTTTGAATATTGTCTTTTAAACATCCCTGGGGTATCCTGGTAATATCTGCTGGTTTCAACCCTAGTACTACAGCCTGATTGTTTCCCACAAATGCCCATACCTCTATAATCTGTTGGTTTAAAGTCCTAGACAAGTCATCATTGACTCCCTCAATCAAATTGGCTAATGCAACCACTCCAGCCCCAGAGAGATGAACCTCATCCCTTGCATACATATCAGGTTTGCCATAGAATTTGTCCCAGTTATCAATGAATGGGATTGCAAGTTCCTTGCAGTACCTGTCTAGCCAGCAATTTATACCAATTGCCCTAGACATCCATTCATTGCCCACTCCCCTTCTAGGCAAGATGCTACATATGATTGGGATCCCTCTCTTAGACCTGACTACATCTGTGGCTGACCTGCACTTATCCAGCAGCTTCTGTCTGCTGCCCTTCCAGCACTAAGACAGATAATGGGCTTGTTCCCATTACCTGACATAATATTATCTAACCTGCTATGTCACTAACACCAGCTCTTGGGAGGCACACACTGTCTGACCTTCCTATTTCTGTTACAAAAAGCACATTAACCTCTAGCTTTTTATAACTTCCCCTGATAATTTTTTATGGCATTTTTAATTTTTGCAATTATGCATTTCAATCACATTTCTTACAGCTTCCATAATATTTTCCCTTGTAAAACCCCTGTACAAGTACAGGGTATTAGCTCACTTTTTCAGTTTTGCTGGTCTTAATACCAAGCCTTAACAATAGTTACAAATTTTGTATCAAAACTGTAGAATTGAAAGTACATTTTAACATGTATGATTAGATAAGTTTGTTTATAAAATCATTAACCTAAGTCTTGTATCTTTTTTCAGATCGGAAAAATGACCATGAACGAACATTGACCCGGGATGAGAAACGAGCGCGGGCCATGAACCTTCCAATTTCCTGTGAGGATATTATCAATCTACCTATGGATGAATTCAATGAGCGCATCTCAAAATATGATTTGACAGAGGCACAGCTCTCCCTCATAAGAGATATTCGTCGTCGTGGCAAAAATAAGGTACAGAATTGGTCCCTCAGTATTAATAATACCAGTAATTTATTTTAAAAAAGCCATACAAGTGCTAAAATATTTGGACAGGTTTAAACTAGGAATATAACTACTTATTAATAAAATAATAGTTGTAGGGCTGGTTTGTTTATTAATTTAGCAAATAATTATGTAAAATTAAAAAAAAAATAGATATTAATTCTGGGCATGATAAGTATGATACAAGCAGAATAAAAACCAAAAGTATTAATATGATAAACATTAAATATATGGAAAATTATTTAAAATTAAGGAGCAGGATTAAAGACAGGGATAAACAGTACTTGTCATTAAAGCATGTCAGATGGAAGGTGCCCGGCATACTATAATTTCCTAGGTAATATCCTACCCAGGTAGGTTTTTGGATGACACAAAAAATTGTTCTGGCTTGGCAACTTGTCTCACGAAATCGTAATGACATGATTGCAAACAAACCATAACGCGACAGTCTGGAGTTTTGAGAGACTCTGATCGCGGGTTCTATCCCCGCCCGTGGTATGGTTTGGCAACCTGTAATGGGCTGCCTCAGGATTTTCTAAGGCTACTTACTGGCTGTATCCTAAGTGCCTTCTAGGCTTGTGTGGTGCACAGTTTTATGTCTGTGGATCCCCCTGAGCTCTTTGGTTTTGAGGGGTCAAGTTTTTCAGACATATTTTTGGCTTTTGGCAAATTAATATGGGCAGGAGTGAGTTGCTGACATGAGACAATATCACACACCATTGGATTATATCAAGCAGGCTATAGAACAAAGGAAATAGTAGAAGCCATTGATGTGTATGAGCATTCATTGAGGACTTGGTTACATCGGTTCCCTGAGGACAGTTGATGACATGCCCACACCAAAAGCATGTTTAGAAAAGCCTAGAAAAACTTCCCTACTAATGTTAACTGTAAAAACATACCTAGAATTGCTCTGTGATCATTAGCCTGAATCTTTCATTTAGTGTGGTGCAAAAAAATTTATGCAAGACAGTGCTCCTTGCCACACTGTGAAATTGTTGTTCATCAGTTTTGTGACTGTATGGTACCCTTCTTTGATTAGCCAGAAATTTTGCCCAACTGGAACCCCATTGAGAACCTCTGGGGCTGTGATAGAGAAGGAAAGGATATCAGCCCATTCCCATGGCTGAAGAACACTATCTGCAAGTCATGGGAAAGTTTACTCCATGAAACCCTTAAGAATGCGAGTGAATCACTTCCTAGATAGTTGAAGGATGTGGTCAAGTGCAAAGGATGACCCATCTTGTGGTCATGGTTTGGGATGGTGGGGGCATGCTTTAATCCCCCCTTAACCCCTTCACTGTCAGAAGCCCCAAAATTACAGGTGCTCACAGTGTCAGCATTTAAAAAAAAATTCTTCTGAGATAGTAGATAATCACTTTCTGAAGGTAATGACACCAAAAATATGAAATTTGATGGAAAACTTATGGAATTACACAGATACAAAGTTAGCTGTCATGGGTCCACTTTATGCATTGGTGGTTTTGCCTAGTTTAAGTTCTATTTTAAGCTAATTCCATTACCCAATTTGACCAAATTCTTAGCTATTTCAGTAGTATTCCTTTCTATCGATTGAGCATAAGAAACAGCCCATTCAACTATCAGAACTACCTACCCTATGAAGTGCACAGAAGTCAGTAATTTGGCCAATTTTACATAAAATTCATCATATTACAAATTAAAAACAAGAGTCTAAAATAAACACTCAAGACATTCCAGGTATTAAAGCAACATTTCCTGTTCATTAATCATGTCCTCAGGCCTCTCCTGTTTTATATAACACTTTCCCTCCACTTTGAATTACTCATTACAAAAAATTGATGATTTACCCTATTTCTCAAATAATAAAACATAACCAGGAATGATTGGTCATGGTTTACAGTGTTCCAATAATTGAATCAGCCCTAGTAAAATCCCGTAAAATAGACTTCAGGGGGTGTAGGGGGCCTCAACTGTTCTGAGGAAAATTGTCAGAAATTTAATGATTCTGCTAAGTTCAGCCCAATTTCATGTTACTTCTGGTCCTGAAACCAACCAAAATCCTCTATTTCAGTAGTATTTCTTCCATTCTGTCAATTGAAAGCAAGAAACAGTCAGTAAAACAATAAAAAACTATGCTAGAAAACATCTCAAAGTTGCTATTTTAAACCAAACACAAAGTCAGAGTTTTGCTTTTCCCATCGCACCATGTGTAACAGGAACTTTTTTTTTTTATACAGCATAGACCCATTCTCTCATGTCTAGGTCAAAATTTGCCACTTGCAGTTTTTGAGGGAGCTAAGCTCAAAACATAGATCTATGTTAGTGACCCTGGCATCGATAACATAGATCTATGGATGGGACAGTGAATGGGTTAATTATGTATGGTAATAAGATAAATTCTCCGTGGGAAAGTGGAACAATTCTTTCTCCGTAAGCCATGCGTGTTATAAGAGGTGACTAACATGCCGGGAGTAAGGGGCTAGTAACCCCTTCTGTATACATTACTAAAGTTAAAAAGAGAAACTTTTGTTTTTCTTTTTGGGCCACCCTGCTTTGGTGGGATACGGCTGGTTTGTTGAAAGAAGAATAATCAAGTAAATAAAAAAAATGTTGGTAATTAAAATTTGTTTCAGAGCATTACATATGTACATTAGTTGAACACACTACAGTAGGGCCCCGCTTTACGGCGTTTCACTTTACGGCGTTCCGCTAATACGGTCATTTCAAATTATGACCAAAACTCGCTATACGGCTCCCCCCACCTGACTTTCTAATACGGTCACCGTGCCTCACCCTGTTTGTTTACATTCTCCGTGAGCTTAGTAAGCACTAAGTCTCTCCATTTTGTCTGGAAACTCCAAAATTTCAAATGTTTTTAAAAGTTATTTCATATTTATATATACTCTGATAATTATACTTATGTATACCTGTACCTAAATAAACTTACATACTGTGCTGGCGTGCAGGTACACATTAAAATCGGTAAGTGTCTTATGTCTCCAGACGTCATATTAGTAATGATAATAATAATCATCGAGTCATTTAAATGTTGTATATTACGTTAATTATTACACATGTTTCAGTAAAAAATAATTCATCTTGAATTTTTTCAAACTTAAATAATAAAACGATGATAACTATATAAATAAGATTAAATAGAACCACAGTAGAATAAATAAACATAAATGTGAGATGTGGTAGCAGACGACTTGCACAAGTGACGCCATATTAGAAATGATAATAATAATAATATCTGAGAGAGTTAGAGCAAAGGAAGGGGTAGCAGTAATGTTAAATGATCAGTTATGGAAGGAGAAAAGAGAATATGAATGTGTAAATTCAAGAATTATGTGGATTAAAGTAAAAGTTGGATGCGAGAAGTGGGTCATAATAAGCGTGTATGCACCTGGAGAAGAGAGGAATGCAGAGGAGAGAGAGAGATTTTGGGTGATGTTAAGTGAATGTATAGGAGCCTTTGAACCAAGTGAGAGAGTAATTGTGGTAGGGGACCTGAATGCTAAAGTAGGAGAAACTTTTAGAGAGGGTGTGGTAGGTAAGTTTGGGGTGCCAGGTGTAAATGATAATGGGAGCCCTTTGATTGAACTTTGTATAGAGAGGGGTTTAGTTATAGGTAATACATATTTTAAGAAAAAGAGGATAAATAAGTATACAAGATATGATGTAGGGCGAAATGACAGTAGTTTGTTGGATTATGTATTTGTAGATAAAAGACTGTTGAGTAGACTTCAGGATGTACATGTTTATAGAGGGGCCACAGATATATCAGATCACTTTCTAGTTGTAGCTACACTGAGAGTAAAAGGTAGATGGGATACAAGGAGAATAGAAGCATCAGGGAAGAGAGGGGTGAAGGTTTATAAACTAAAAGAGGAGGCAGTTAGGGTAAGATATAAGCAGCTATTGGAGGATAGATGGGCTAATGAGAGCATAGGCAATGGGGTCGAAGAGGTATGGGGTAGGTTTAAAAATGTAGTGTTAGAGTGTTCAGCAGAAGTTTGTGGTTACAGGAAAGTGGGTGCAGGAGGGAAGAGGAGCGATTGGTGGAATGATGATGTAAAGAGAGTAGTAAGGGAGAAAAAGTTAGCATATGAGAAGTTTTTACAAAGTAGAAGTGATACAAGGAGGGAAAAGTATATGGAGAAAAAGAGAGAGGTTAAGAGAGTGGTGAAGCAATGTAAAAAGAGAGCAAATGAGAGAGTGGGTGAGATGTTATCAACAAATTTTGTTGAAAATAAGAAAAAGTTTTGGAGTGAGATTAACAAGTTAAGAAAGCCTAGAGAACAAATGGATTTGTCAGTTAAAAATAGGAGAGGAGAGTTATTAAATGGAGAGTTAGAGGTATTGGGAAGATGGAGGGAATATTTTGAGGAATTGTTAAATGTTGATGAAGATAGGGAAGCTGTGATTTCGTGTATAGGGCAAGGAGGAATAACATCTTGTAGGAGTGAGGAAGAGCCAGTTGTGAGTGTGGGGGAAGTTCGTGAGGCAGTAGGTAAAATGAAAGGGGGTAAGGCAGCTGGGATTGATGGGATAAAGATAGAAATGTTAAAAGCAGGTGGGGATATAGTTTTGGAGTGGTTGGTGCAATTATTTAATAAATGTATGGAAGAGGGTAAGGTACCTAGGGATTGGCAGAGAGCATGCATAGTTCCTTTGTATAAAGGCAAAGGGGATAAAAGAGAGTGCAAAAATTATAGGGGATAAGTCTGTTGAGTATACCTGGTAAAGTGTATGGTAGAGTTATAATTGAAAGAATTAAGAGTAAGACGGAAAATAGGATAGCAGATGAACAAGGCGGCTTTAGGAAAGGTAGGGGGTGTGTGGACCAGGTGTTTACAGTGAAACATATAAGTGAATAGTATTTAGATAAGGCTAAAGAGGTCTTTGTGGCATTTATGGATTTGGAAAAGGCGTATGACAGGGTGGATAGGGGGGCAATGTGGCAGATGTTGCAAGTGTATGGTGTA